GCTCAGTTTTACTACTCAATCTGTTTTCAAGCAGTCTTTAGTGTTATTAGCTCTCATTGTAAGACTATATACACATAAACATACTACTTGTATCGGGAGGTTATCGGATCGACTGAAGATGTTTTCGAGCTCGTCATTATGCCGCATGTTTTCTCGTCCCCTTATTGACGAATGTTATGTGGGAGAATAAGACAAACCAATCAGAATGCGCGTATGACTTCAGGGATTTCGTTCAAAGAATCCCTCAGTAATATTTTATATTTATTTTACATATGTCTTGCATTAAAAAATATACCCAAAACAGGGTTAACTGTGTTCAATCACACAGTATACAATTGTAAGTCCCCATGTGTTTTCAATAGCATCTGGAATATATATGATACATAGGGGAAATTTACATGAATCATTACGCAACGAGTTGACAATTCTTTTAGCTATGCCCGTTTGCGCTCAGGCGGAACCCAGTCGCAAAAATGGCCAGGTGAGGGGTACGAATGGAATCTGAGGTCACAGCGCAAAGCCCCGAGGGGGGCAGATCGTCAAACGTTTCGCAAGTGTGTTCAGGTGTAGGAGAACAAGACTCACAGTTAACTGCACCCCTGTGGGGGCCTGGTTTGAGAACAGACAACGTGATCGATACCACGTAGCGGGGATTGCGAAATGTGATAATTAGTATCTATCACCATAAACATGGCAAAACGTCACTTCCCCAATTGTCAGATGCACGCTCAGTCTTGTGTTGTGTGTCGTACCCCATGTGTTCTACACGACAGACGTGTTTCTTATTTCACACCATATTTCACTCAGGACAAAAAATATTTACTCCACCACGACAAACTAAACACACCAATTCCGATGTGTTCAACTTCAAAAAACGATTGAATAAGGGATTGGTGGTGCGAAATACAACCGACAAAACCCCTTTTCTTGTCGATTGTACGATTCCGACTGTATCATGAGCAAGTTATTATTAATCACCATCACATATCTATAATGACAAGCGTTCGCTAAAAGTGGGACGTATTCTGCCCCACGTGAGGCAGCCGTCAAAAACGCATGCAAGGGCAAGTCAATTGGTCACCTGAACAAACACTTGGACAAAATTATAACACGGAAACATAATTGTAGAAATCAAAACAGGGAATTACATTGGACGTGAGTTTTGCCACCGGTACGTCAGATTTGGAAATGTCGGCCCAATGTCAACCACAAACAGTTTTTTGACAGCTTTATCGAGGTCTTGAATGTTGTATCATTGATCAAACTTTTGAGCAAGAATCGTATGACGCTCTTTGAAATCTTGGCAGAAAGAATATATTTCTGTGTGTAATGAATGCCTAGGTACGCTTGGCTGTGGGCAATACGTAGGTCCCCCTTTCTCTGGGGAATACGTAGGTCCTCCTGTCTGTGGAGAATACATAGATCCTCCTGTCAGTGAGGAATACGTAGGTCATTGTGTCAGTGGGGAATACGTAGGTCCTACTGTCTGTGGAGAATACCTAAGTCCTCCTGTCTGTGGAGAATACCTAGGTCCTCCTGCATGCGGGGAATACCTAGGTCCTCCTGTCTGTGGAATAGCTATTTCCTCCTGTCCGTGGGAATTTCTGGAGCCTTCAGTGAAGGGAGATAATTCAGGAGTCATCAGAGGGTTCAGAATTAAGTAACCTGTTTGTATAGTTAAACCAAGTAAACACTGATTGTGTAATAACAACATATTAAACTAAACATAAAACAACAAATCACCCATGTCTATCGTCAGATTGAAGCTGATGAGTTCGTCTTTTCAGAATAGATACACAGTTTTTTACAACAGGTCAGACAGTACATTTCTAGCTTTGCAGAACAAAATAGATTTACCTCTTTAATAATTACCCTCGTGATATTCAACAGCTAGTCCTCTTGCCATGTCCTGATGTACTAGAATGGTGCCAGGTTTCACATATTTGAAACACAATTTTGATTACACTTACATACAGGCAATTTTCATCTAGTTTATTCCCCTCTTTTCACAAAAGATAAATGTCTATTGTATTTTACATGGGGCAAGTCAGACTACTGTGGGCAGCGGCATGGCGTTACCTAGGCAACAGAATAAAGTATTGGTGGGCGGAGACGGAGTACTATCGATGTCATGTCTCATGGTCACTAAGAACATTCTCAGTCGACATGAGAAGGTTTTGTTTTGTTTGTTGTTTAACGCCGCACTCAACTATAGGACGGCGGTCTATTGATGATCAAGTCAGGACGAGACGATCCAGTGATTGACATTCGAGCATCTTCGCAGTTGGGATACGTTGGCATGTATCAACCAAGTCAGAGTGCCTGACCACCCGATCCCTCAAGACGCCTATTGCAACAAGCATGCGATGCTGATAACCAATGCTAACCCAGAATAACGTCGAAGAAAGATATATATCAGAACAAGTTCATTCATCCCCACTGAGTAGCATCTGCTCCAGAACATGTCCCGTGGCTAGTTTATTCATCCCCGCTGTGTAGAGTCCACTCCAGAACATGTCCCGTGGCTAGTTTATTCATCCCCACTGTGGAGTGTCCGCTCAAGAACATGTCCTGTGGCTAGTTTATTCATCCCCACTGTGGAGAGTCCGCTCCAGAACATGTCCCGTGTCTAGTTTATTCATCCCCACTGTGGAGAGTCCGCTCCAGAACATGCCCCGTGGCTAGTTTATTCATCCCCACTGTGGAGAGTCCGCTCCAGAACATGTCCCGTGTCTAGTTTATTCATCCCCACTGTGGAGAGTCCGCTCCAGAACATGTCCCGTGTCTAGTTTATTCATCCCACTGTGGAGAGTCCGCTCCAGAACATGTCCCGTGGCTAGTTTATTCATCCCCACTGTGGAGAGTCCGCTCCAGAACATGTCCCGTGGCTAGTTTATTCATCCCCACTGTGGAGTGTCCGCTCCAGAACATGTCCCGTGTCTAGTTTATTCATCCCCACTGTGGAGAGTCCGCTCCAGAACATGTCCCGTGGCTAGTTTATTCATCCCCACTGTGGAGAGTCCGCTCCAGAACATGTCCCGTGGCTAGTTTATTCATCCCCACTGTGGAGAGTCCACTCCAGAACATGTCCCCTGGCTAGTTTATTCATCCCAGCTGTGTAGAGTCCGCTCCAGAACATGTCCCGTGGCTAGTTTATTCATCCCAGCTGTGTAGAGTCCGCTCCAGAACATGTCCCGTGTCTAGTTTATTCATCCCAGCTGTGTAGAGTCCGCTCCAGAACATGTCCCGTGGCTAGTTTATTCATCCCAGCTGTGTAGAGTCCGCTCCAGAACATGTCCCGTGGCTAGTTTATTCATCCCAACTGTGGAGTGTCCGCTCCAGAACATGTCCCGTGTCTAGTTTATTCATCCCCACTGTGGAGAGTCCGCTCCAGAACATGTCCCGTGGCTAGTTTATTCATCCCCACTGTGGAGTGTCCGCTCCAGAACATGTCCCGTGTCTAGTTTATTCATCCTTTGTGTGGAGAGTCCGCTCCAGAACATGTCCCGTGGCTAGTTTATTCATCCCAGCTGTGTAGAGTCCGCTCCAGAACATGTCCCGTGGCTAGTTTATTCATCCCAGCTGTGTAGAGTCCGCTCCAGAACATGTCCCGTGGCTAGTTTATTCATCCCAGCTGTGTAGAGTCCGCTCCAGAACATGTCCCGTGGCTAGTTTATTCATCCCAGCTGTGTAGAGTCCGCTCCAGAACATGTCCCGTGGCTAGTTTATTCATCCCAGCTGTGTAGAGTCCGCTCCAGAACATGTCCCCTGGCTAGTTTATTCATCCCAGCTGTGTAGAGTCCGCTCCAGAACATCTCCCGTGGCTAGTTTATTCATCCCAGCTGTGTAGAGTCCGCTCCAGAACATGTCCCGTGGCTAGTTTATTCATCCCAGCTGTGTAGAGTCCGCTCCAGAACATGTCCCGTGGCTAGTTTATTCATCCAAGCTGTGGAGAGTCCACTCCAGAACATGTCCCGTGGCTAGTTTATTCATCCCAGCTTTGAAGAGTCCTCTCCAGGACATGTCCCTGGGCTTGTTTTTTCATCCCCACTGTGGAGTTTATGCTCCAGAACATGTCCCGTGGCTAGTTTATTCATCCTTTGTGTGGAGAGTCCGCTCCAGAACATGTCCCGTGGCTAGTTTATTCATCCCAGCTGTGTAGAGTCCGCTCCATAACATGTCCCGTGGCTAGTTTATTCATCCCAGCTGTGGAGAGTCCACTCCAGAACATGTCCCGTGTCTAGTTGATTCATCCCCACTGTGGAGAGTCCGCTCCAGAACATGTCCCGTGGCTAGTTTATTCATCCCAGCTGTGTGAGGGGCGGTCGGGTAGCCTAGTGGTTAAAGCGTTCGCTCGTCACGCCGAAGACCCGGGTTCGAATCCCGGCATGGGTACAATGTGTGAAGCCCATTTCTGGTGTCCCCCGCCGTGATTTTGCTGGAATATTGCTAAAAGCGGCGTAAAACCAAACTCACTCACTCACTCATCCCAGCTGTGGAGAGTCCACTCCAGAACATGTCCCGTGTCTAGTTGATTCATCCCCACTGTGGAGAGTCCACTCCAGGACATGTCCCGTGGCTAGTTTATTCATCCCCGCTGTGGAGAGTCGATGTTGCTCATAATATCAATCGTTAGTTGTCTGGAGTCAGTTATTTAAAAGCCAACCTCATATAGCTGGACGACAGATGATTGCGGCGTAAAACAACCTGCACCCGGTTCTCGATTTCAAAACTTTTATTTTTTACCGAAACATTCTACACGCTAACTGAAACGTTTTCTCCGGGAACTTGTTTGTTCAGGAAAAAATCGGAGTCATCTAGTCATCTAGACAACCCTACTTGAGAAATTTCCGTCCTTAGCCTATCGAAAACAAGTGTAGAATTATAAATCATTAAGTAAATCCTCGTTTGGTGAGATCAATGTGTCACTTCACTTCACCTTTGGCTACACATGTTTTATTTATGTTTTCGTAACTTCCTGGCTGGGTAATTATAAATAGAGGCGTGTACCCAGCTGCCCTCAGTAAGGATGAAGACCATGTTGTATCTACTGCTGACTCTGCTCCTGCCCGGGACCCTGGCGTCTCCAGATGGCGAGGATCTCACCCTGACTGCGGGGGCTGGCGGGAGCGTCGTCGTCAACGCTGCAGTGGACAGGATCAGGTCCAACTGCATCCTCGGGGACGACCGTCTGTTCCTGCGACGTCTGGCTTACGTGGAGACAACAGACGGTGACGATTCCAATACGTACAGACCTGGTTATGACGGCGGGCTCTGGCAGGTAAGGTAGCCCTATAACACTACAGTATGCCAAGGCTTGCTGTCTCAGTCCGTAAAGAAAAGCGACGCGACGTTTCCAGAATTAGCAGAGGTGTCTGATAAAAGCTGTCCTTGTACAAGTCCGACTGTATCATTATTATGTGTTTATGAGTGAGTGTGTGAGTGAGTTGGGTTTAACGCCGCTTTTAACAATATTCTAGTTATATCGCGGCGTGTCAGCTTAATGTAGGAGGAAAGCCCGAAGTGTTAGGTTGTGGTGTGTTGGTGTACGGGTTTGGGGGTGTGAGGGTCTGGTGTGTGGATGTGTGTGTGTGACTGTGTGTGTGTGTTGGTGTGTGTGTTAGGTTATGGTGTGTGGGTGTGAGGTTGTGGTATGTTGGTGTGTGTGTGTGAGGGTGTGTGGGTGTGTGGGTGTGTGGGTGTGATGGTGTTGTGTGTGGATGTGTGTGTGTGTGTGTGCGCGCGAGGGTGTGTGTGTGTATGGTGTGGTGTGTGGATGTGTGGTTGTGGCTGTAGAGTTTAGGTTTGGCGTGTGGGTGTCTGGGTGTCTGTGTGTGTTGGTGTGTGTGTGTGGTGGTGTGTGTGTGTGGTGGATTTGGGTGTGGTGGGTGTGGGTGTGTTCAGGATGTGTGGTAGGGGTGAGGGGGCATGAGTTTTGGATGTGACGAGCAATGTACAATGACCACAGCTGCCGCCACCTTCAACTGCTGTAATATAGAAATAAAGTACAAACAGCAGCCTGGAATACTGTTCAAAGCAGCGATAAACCCAACTCACTCACTCACTCATAGTTGACTTCATTGCTTCGCCCGTATCTTACATTCTACCAGATAGACGAGGATAAGTTCTTGGAGACGAAGTCCTGCCCGTCCTCAATATCTACCGAATGTGACTTGATCAGCTCCACCCTCGAGATCGACTGGCGCACCACATCCTGGTCAGACCTGAGGAAGCCTCTGTACTCCGGGCTGGCAGCGGCTCTCTACATAAAGAAGTATCACAGTGGCAGCCCTCCCGGTGACGTCACCAGTCAAGCCTCGTTCTGGGCCTCTAACCTCAGACCAGGAGCATCAGAGAATGACTTCATCACTAAAGCTGGAGCATTGAAAGGCATCGGTACGTGATAGTGAGTGAGTGGGTTGGTTTTAACGCCGCTTTTAACAGTATTCCAGTTATATCACGGCGTGTCAGCTTAATGTGGGAGGAAAGCCCGAAGTGATGCAGGTCTCAGACGTTTACCACTTCGGTGAAACCCACGAGCACGGGTATGTAGCTGACAAACCTAGAAACATAATTGGGGCGAACCGGGATTCGAACCCGCAATCATAGGTTTCTGGCGTGCCCAAGGGACGCAACTCTGCACAGCGAATCGCTGCTCCTAAGACGACTGGGCCAACCGTGCCCCCCGGTACGTGACAGGGATACACTGATTGTCTGTGGGTGTGAGGGTTTAATGAGTGAGTGAGCTGGTATTTAACGTCACATCGGCAATATTTCAGCCATATCGTGACGAGAAAGTGACGAGTCAGTTAGTGAATTCTTCACTAGTCACTATATTTTAATGTCTTTCAATTTCATTTTTTTGCTTGGCGTTTTTTAAATCATTCGTTTGTAACATTGTTAGCTATAAATGAGTCACACATAATTCATTTCAATCCAGACTGCAGCACCCAACTTGACCTCGCTTTCATTCTGGACGGTTCTGGAAGTGTCTCCACAAGTGACTTCAGACGCATGCTTGACTTCATCTCTGATATTGTCACAGACTTAGACATCGCAGAAGATGAAGTAAAAGTTTCCACTGTTGAATATGGTTCAAGCGTTGGAGGCAGTATTCTCTTTGGAGACTTTATCTCGAAGAACAATTTGCTAAGCTCTATAAATAACATCAGAAAGAGTGGCGGTGGCACCAACACAGCTTCAGCCATCCTCCACACTGCAAACGTCCTGTTCAGCAATACAACAGGTGCCCGGCCAAATGCCAAGCGTGTGGCGATCCTTCTCACTGACGGCATGTCAAACAGTAAAACAGCTACCATCAGTGCTGCTGATAAAGCTAAAGACGCAGGTATCACGATGATATCAGTTGGGATAGGAAGCATTGATGAGTCTGAGCTGAAGGCTGTAGCCACTCAACCTGACTGTACGCACGTCATCATCCTCCAGGACTTCACTGAGATAGACAGTCTCCTGTACCAACTGAAGGACAGCTCCTGTGGGGGTAGGCCATGCTTTGTACTAAACATCCAATCGGTTTCAATGCTGTTTCGACATTAATGCTGTCGTGAAGGAATAATGCAGGAGGTATTCAATATAGACTGGACATACTTAAAATGTACAGTTTATTTTATATGTGTCAGTAAAACATGCAGGGTTGCCCAGCTGTTCTGAAAACGTTTACCCCAGGTCCAACTGTTGTTGCTAAGGACAGACATGTAATCACTTTCTTCCTCGGCACCAACTGTTGTTGACAAGGACAGACATGTAATCACTTTCTTCCTCAGCTCCAACTGTTGTTGACAAGGACAGACATGTAATCACTTTCTTCCTCAGCTCCAACTGTTGTTGACAAGGACAGACATATAATGCCTTTCTTCCCCAGCACCAACTGTTGTTGACAAGGACAGACATATAATGCCTTTCTTCCCCAGCACCAACTGTTGTTGACAAGGACAGACATATAATGCCTTTCTTCCCCAGCACCAACTGTTGTTGACAAGGACAGACATATAATGCCTTTCTTCCTCGGCACCAACTGTTGTTGACAAGGACAGGCATGTAATCACTTTCTTCCTCGGCACCATTTGTTGTTGACAAGGACAGACATGTAATGCCTTTCTTCATCATCACCAACTGTTGTTGACAAGGACAGACATGTAATCACTTTCTTCCTCGGCACCATTTGTTGTTGACAAGGACAGACATGTAATGCCTTTCTTCCTCGGCACCATTTGTTGTTGACAAGGACAGACATGTAATGCCTTTCTTCATCATCACCAAATGTTGTTGACAAGGACAGACATGTAATCACTTTCTTCCTCGGCACCATTTGTTGTTGACAAGGACAGACATGTAATCACTTCCTTCCTCGGCACCATTTGTTGTTGACAAGGACAGACATGTAATCACTTTCTTCCTCGGCACCAACTGTTGTTGACAAGGACAGACATGTAATCACTTTCTTCCTCGGCACCATTTGTTGTTGACAAGGACAGACATGTAATCACTTTCTTCCTCGGCACCATTTGTTGTTGACAAGGACAGACATATAATGCCTTTCTTTCCCAGCACTAACTGTTGTTGACAAAAACAGACATGTAATCACTTTCTTCCTCGGCACCATTTGTTGTTGACAAGGACAGACATGTAATCACTTCCTTCCTCGGCACCATTTGTTGTTGACAAGGACAGACATATAATGCCTTTCTTTCCCAGCACTAACTGTTGTTGACAAAAACAGACATGTAATCACTTTCTTCCTCGGCACCAACTGTTGTTGACAAGGACAGGCATGTAATCACTTTCTTCCTCGGCACCATTTGTTGTTGACAAGGACAGACATATAATGCCTTTCTTTCCCAGCACTAACTGTTGTTGACAAAAACAGACATGTAATCACTTTCTTCCTCAGCTTCAACTGTTGTTGACAAAAACAGACATGTAATCACTTTCTTCCTCGGCACCAACTGTTGTTGACAAAAACAGGCATGTAATCACTTTCTTCCTCAGCTTCAACTGTTGCTGACAAAAACAGACATGTAATCACTTTCTTGCCCAGCTCCAACTGTTGTTGACAAGGACAGACATGTAATCACTTTCTTCCCCGGCACCAACTGTGGTTGACAAGGACAGACATGTAATCACTTTCTTCCCCAGCACCAACTGTTGTTGACAAGGACAGACATGTAATCACTTTCTTCCTCGGCACCAACTGTTGTTGACAAGGACAAGCATGTAATCACTTTCTTCCCCGGCACCAACTGTTGTTGACAAGGACAGACATGTTATCACTTTCTTCCTCGGCACCAACTGTTGTTGACAAGGACAGATATGTAATCACTTTCTTCCCCAGCTCCAACTGTTGTTGACAAGGACAAGCATGTAATCACTTTCTTCCTCGGCACCAACTGTTGTTGACAAGGACAGGCATGTAATCACTTTCTTCCCCGGCACCAACTGTTGTTGACAAGGACAAACATGTAATCACTTTCTTCCTCGGCACCAACTGTTGTTGACAAGGACAGGCATGTAATCACTTTCTTCCCCGGCACCAACTGTTGTTGACAAGGACAAGCATGTAATCACTTTCTTCCCCAGCACCAACTGTGGTTGACAAGGACAGACATGTAATCACTTTCCTTCCCAGCACCAACTGTTGTTGTCAAGGACAGACATGTAATCACTTTCTTCCCCAGCACCAACTGTTGTTGACAAGGACAAGCCTATTATGACGCCCCTGCCAGTAAATATCACAGTGGACGACTCATTCGTCGTTGAGGATGATGACGACCCAGCTAGTCCAGACGGCGATACTGATGAAATTGTTGTAAGTTATACAGAGCTTTCTACACACTTCACACCTTATTTTACGCTAACATGCATTGTGACCTGAAACCATAAAGCGTTGATTTGGGATAAAATTATTAGCAGTATTTTTGTATATATAAAACCAAGGGTCTTATTAGGCCATAAACTATTTAATTTATCATTTTACTATTTAAATCATGTGTCATTTTCGTGAAAATAAAAATATTCAAGTTTGCAAAGACAGATCCTGGAAACTGTTCTGTGTGATTCACCTGCATCTGAGTGTCCGCCGCTACATAAGTGCAATAATCTTGGACGCGACGTTAATCCCCATTTTACGTAACCTCACCTAAATGTCAGATACCTTCTTTAATTATTAAGGTTGGCGAGGTTATTTGTGGCACCCTGGACATGTACGCCTCCTACCGCACCCCCCGCCCCAGCCCCGCCTTCTACGACTCCAGGGACAGCGCTAGTGATGGAAAGGCAGGTGTTATATACTTCAACAAGGACATGAAGGGGAGATCACTCTACATCACTGTCATAGCATCTCGGCTACCGCTGACCATCGATCAAATGCCCTCATGCATCAACGCCAGTTTCAGCGTGGGGATTTCCCAGCTGCCATCAAGTACGTCACTTTATCAATGGACAGGAACTATAACATATCAACATAAACCGAGTGATAACTTGATGTAAAGCGGTGAAAACAGACCTAGGCGTTACCATTCGTATTTTGTTACTATTCATATCACCTTTGTGATTGTGGGAGATCGTAACGCTCCATTGTGTCTACTGGTATTTAGAGAAGGGTGTCATCTGTCGAGAGTCTAATAGAGTGAGAGTGACGCTTCAGTGTGTCTATTTAGAGGAGGGTGTCATCTGTGGAGAGTCTGTTAGTGTGTTTAGAGGTGCCGATCATCTGTAGAGAGTCTGTTTGTGTGTTTAGAGGTGGAGATCATCTGTAGAGAGTATGTTTGTGTATTTAGAGGTGGTGATCATCTGTAGAGAGTATGTTTGTGTGTTTAGAGGTGGAGATCATCTGTAGAGAGTATGTTTGTGTGTTTAGAGGTGGCGATCATCTGTAGAGAGTCTGTTTGTGTGTTTAGAGGTGGAGATCATCTGTAAAGAGTAGGTTTGTGTGTTTAGAGGTGGAGATCATCTGTAGAGAGTCTGTTTGTGTGTTTAGAGGTGGAAATCATCTGTAGAGAGTCTGTTTGTGTGTTTAGAGGTGGAGATCATCTGTAGAGAGTCTGTTTGTGTGTTTAGAGGTGGAGATCATCTATAGAGAGTCTGTTTGTGTGTTTAGAGGTGGAGATCATCTGTAGAGAGTCTATTTGTGTGTTTAGAGGTGGAGATCATCTGTAGAGAGTCTGTTTGTGTGTTTAGAGGGGGAGATCATCTATAGAGAGTCTGTTTGTGTGTTTAGAGGTGGAGATCATCTGTAGAGAGTCTGTTTGTGTGTTTAGAGGTGGTGATCATCTGTAGAGAGTCTGTTTGTGTATTTAGAGGTGGTGATCATCTGTAGAGAGTATGTTTGTGTGTTTAGAGGTGGAGATCATCTGTAGAGAGTATGTTTGTGTGTTTAGAGGTGGCGATCATCTGTAGAGAGTCTGTTTGTGTGTTTAGAGGTGGAGATTATCTGTAGAGAGTATGTTTGTGTATTTAGAGGTGGAGATCATCTGTGGAGAGTCTGTTTGTGTGTTTAGAGGTGGCGATCATCTGTAGAGAGTCTGTTTGTGTGTTTAGAGGTGGCGATCATCTGTAGAGAGTCTGTTTGTGTGTTTAGAGGTGGAGATCATCTGTAAAGAGTATGTTTGTGTGTTTAGAGGTGGAGATCATCTGTAGAGAGTCTGTTTGTGTGTTTAGAGGTGGAGATCATCTGTAGAGAGTCTGTTTGTGTGTTTAGAGGTGGAGATCATCTGTAGAGAGTCTGTTTGTGTGTTTAGAGGTGGAGATCATCTGTAGAGAGTCTGTTTGTGTGTTTAGAGGTGGAGATCATCTATAGAGAGTCTGTTTGTGTGTTGAGAGGTGGAGATCATCTGTAGAGAGGGCCTGGTAGAGAGAGAGTAACACCTTTGTTTGTGTGTGTAGAGGTGGAGATCATCTGTAGAGAGGGCCTGGTAGAGCGAGAGTGTACAGAGGACGACTTGGAGGACAATGGCTTCAGCTGTGATGGTATGTACAGGACTGGTTGAAGTGTGTATATCTAATCAGATGTTCGACTTCGTAAGCTACACCATCAATATTTTGTTTCAAAATTGAATTTTCAGAATGTATTTGGGAATTGTATTAAGGAACTTCATTCATCTATCATATTATCAGACAGACATACAGTTTACATTAAGGTAGTGTTACATATATGATTCATTTCATTGCTCGGTACGAGATGCAGTAACGTGTGAAAAGTGTATGGATCTTCACAGAAACTTAGAGATATACTTTTTCCTAACGTTTGAATGATGATGTTCAGACTATTGAAACAGTGTTAGCCATTACATGTGTGGTACATTGACAGGCGACATACAGACCAGTTTGAACATTTATTTTATATTTCTGCACCTAAATCGAGACCGAAGTACTTCCAAATATTAAGGGACGTTAGAACATAATTGTCTTCATGCATTTGAGAGTTTACAACTGTTTATGATAGTAGCCTATTCGTGAATGTCTGAGTACTGTCATGACTTGTA